TGGAATAAACCATTGGGAATTGCATGCAATCCAAGCCTCAGCCCAGTGGGTGCCTGTGGTTCACCCTTCTCTAAATTCCATGACATCTGGAACTCGATCTGGGTCAATGAAAGGGTACCTCATCCTGTGTCCTCCAGCTTATTAAGGCTTCATCTCAGGGGTAGCAAGGGAATCCCCATTTCTCCATCCCTCCATCTCTGTCCCCTTTACCATTATCTTTTGTTTGTTTTTTTGTTCCCTAGTTTGTGTCACTGCTCTTTCTCTGTCCCCACTTGCAGTATCTCCTGTGCCCCACTGTCTGTGTCCCTGCCCCCCATCTCTGTCTCTCTCCTCCTCCGCTGTCTCGTCCAGCCTGCTTGGGCTGCGGCCCAGCCACCCTGCCTGGCCATCCTTCTTGGCTCCCCCTCTGCGGCTCTGATCTGGCCCCACCCCCGCCCCCTCCAGCCAGGCTTCTGATCCGCCTGTGGACTCAGAGGTCGGCATCCGGCACGAGGCCCCTGGGGCCAAGGACAGACCACAGACCCTCTCAGCACCCACAGAGGCTTCCCCACAGCCCCAGCAGAGGAGCCCCCAACAGAGGTCATGGGGGTGGGCTGCCCCACCAGGTATGTGCCTCCTTGCAAGGTCAGGGGCCTGAGCCATCCACCTCCTCCCTCTTGCCGCTGCCCTCCCATCCTCCTTTGCTTAAGACCAGCTGGGGCCACCTTTGTCTGAACATCCCTGTGTCCTCATATCTTGCCCCCTCAGGGAGGCCCTAACCCTGTCAGTGACAGACTCCAGCCCCAGAAGAATCCCCACCCCACCTCACCCCCAGGATCGGTGCCTCAAATTCTGACCCCATCTCCTTTTCTTCCCACCCCCATGCATCCTTTCAAAGAGCCTCTTTCTCATCTCTTTATCCTCCATCTCTGTCTTCACAGTTCAGTCCCCCCATCTTTCCACTTTTCAAAACTGTGATCCCCAGTTCTATTTTCTCCAATTGTTCTTTAGTCTGCCTGTCTGTTCTCTGTCCCCTGCCTCATCTGGGTCTCTGATCTATCCCCCCTCTCCCTGGGTCTCTGTCTCTGTCTCTCTCGCTCTCTCTCCCCCCTCTACAACTCTGTCCCCCTCTCTCTGTCTCTTTGTCTCTGTCTTTCCTTGAGTCTCTGTCCCTCTCCCTTTGGACCCGTGTACCTACCCTGTCCATGTCCCCCAACTCTAGGTTCATGTTCCCTTTGAGGGTCTCCATATTTCTTTTTCTCAGGGCTTCCTCCCAGGGTCTCCCTTCTCTCTTCCTGCCTATCTTTGAGTCTCCTGGTCTTTCTATAGTCTTTGTCCCCACAGCCTCTCCTGTCAGTCTCTGCGCTCCAACCTGCTGTCCGTATACCACGGGGCGGGGGGGTGGGGGAGGAGGCCAGGTCACCGCTCTCTCTAGGCCTGTCCCCAGAGTGTGAAAGGGGCAGTAGGAGAGCATCTACCCTTTCAGAGAAAGTGTGAAAATGTGGTGGTGGGGGGAGGTTGGGGCCTGGGGGTGGGGCTTCCTGGCCTCAGATTAGACAGTGACTTTGACACAAAGTTGAAGCACCTTAAGCCCCGTGTCTCCTTTATATGGAAACGTTAAGCTGCTCTCGCAGGTCAGGTGGAGGAAGGCGGGGGTGGGGGTGAAGGGAGGATCCTTCAGGCTTGGGATCCTTTTCCCTTCTATCCTGATTTTGACAGGGGAGGGTGGGGATGCCTCAGCCAGAATGGCATTCTCCAGCCTGGGAGCTGGGCCATGTTGAGCACAAATGGCCCCCTGGAGGTGAAGGTCCCCAGCAGCTTTGTGAAACTGACACAGTCAGGCCTGCCTCACAGGGCTGAGGAGGGACCTGAGGATTTAGGAGACAGTCCTGGGTAGGAAAGGCCCAGGATCCAAACCAGCATCCCATCCAGCACTATGCGGGGCTGGCCAGGTCACGGCTCTCTCTAGGCCTGTCCCCAGAGTGTGAAAGGGGTGATGATCTTGACTTCCCAGCGTCCTGAGCAGTCAAGGTGAGCAGTGGGGTCTGGTGAAGTCTGGTGGGGGAACTGAATGCTACAGGAGCCCCTCTTGAGACCTGACACCTAGTAGGTGCTCAGGAGACAGGAACAAGCCTAATAAGACTAGGCTTCAACCTTCTGGCTCAGGCACCTGAGAGGCCTAGATGGGAGTCCACATTTACCACTCCTCTCCCGGCCAAGGGACCTGAGACAAGGGGCTAATCTCAGGGCCTCAGCTGGCTTTTCTATTGAAAGCCAAGTCTCCATGTCAGAGGGGGTTTGAGGTGGGCAATGGGCCAAGAGGCATGGCTGAGGGCTGGGTCAGGGTCCCACCTACCTTTCCTCACCCAGTTACTAGGGTGCTTGCTGAGAGATGGGACCTGTGCACAGTGGAGTTTCCACGCTGGAGAGGGGCTGCAGGTAAAAAGGTTCCATTCTGGATTCTGGCTTCAACCTCAAACCCGTCCCCTTAGGTGCCTAGCCTATTTCCCCTTTTGGGAAGATTGACTTTAATATCCAGGGTTGCTGAAGGTGAGGAAAGTGTCAAAGTTGGGATCCATAGTAGGATCCATTGGCCACTGTGACCTGAGTTCACCTTTGCTTCTGTGCAGTGGGCCTAATTGCCCACGTGGCAGGGCTGTACAGGTGGTCATGGGCAGCAGGTGCACAGTCCTGTGTGGGAGTCCCACTGATACCAAACTTGACATCAACTAAGAGTCCTCTGACTGGATGAAAGTGTCCCAGGCCCTGCCAAGAAGCCCATGAGGATCCCCAGGACCTGGTACAGGGGGCACATAGCATATGGGTGCTTGGTAAATAGGGATAGAATTTATATGCAAAGTATCTCACCCCTGGTACTGCTTGTCCTGGCCTAGCCAGGTCCTGAAAGTCCTCCCACCATGGGCCAAGTAATGTCTGCAGGTCCATGCCCAGCCCCTTCCCTTCTTTCCTCCAACCTATTGAGCTGCTGGGATTCCTTCCATTTCACAGATGGCAGAACTGAGGCTCAGGAAGGGGTATGACCTGTCACTGGCCATATAGCTAATAAGTGGCAGAGCAAATTGAATCTCTGGAAAAAGAAGCCCGGAACCCTACTGCACATGATGAGCCATCAACTGAACCAGGATTGGGCCCTGAGTCTGTATGATAAGAAGGCCCTTCCTGACCTTGATGAAGTCCCAGTTTCCCCATTTTACAGCTGAGGAAACAAGCTCAGAAAGAATTGCCCAAGATCAGAGGGCCTGTTTGTTTTACTCATTGATTTATTCCATGATATCTTCATTGAAATGTATTTCCTCTAGCATACAATCCGCTTAATAACATGTACAATTCAGTGGTCTTTAGTATATCCACAGTTGCACAACCATCACAGTTAATATTAGAACATTCTCATCACCCCCAAAAGAAACCCTGTGCTGGCTGTCATGTCCAATCATCCCATCTCCCCAGCCTTAGGCAACCAGTACTCTAATTTCTCAATTTATAGGCTGGCCTTTTCTGGACATGTCATATAAATGGAGTATACAACACATGGCCTTTGTGACTGGCATCTTTTACCTGGCATGTTTTCCATATTGTATCTATCAATTCCTCATTCCTATACCACATTTTATTTATCTATCCATCAGTTGATGGATATTTGGATTTCCATCCTTTGGCTATTATAAGTAATACTGCTATGAACATTTATGTAGCAGTTTTTATAAAGACATTTGTTTTCATTTCTCTTGGGCATGTATGTTGTAGTGGAATTACCAGGTGATGAGGTAACTCTTACAGCCAATGGGTGCCAGTTTCTCCACAGTCTCACTAAGGCTAGATAGTATCTGCTTTTTCATTATCACTACCTAAGTGGGTATAAAGTGTTGTTGTTTTTTTTTTTTCCTTCGGCTGGGTCTGGGTTTGAACCCTCTGGTATATGAGGCCGGTGCCCTACTCCTTGAACCACAGGTGCCGCCCCTGGTATAAAGCGGTTTTGATATGCAGTTCCCTGGTAACTAATGAAGTTAAGTATCTTTTCATGTGCTTCCTGGTCATTTATGTACCTTCATTGGAATCATGTCTATGCAGGTCCTTTACCCACTTTTAAATGGGTTATGAGTCTTTTTATTATTGAATTGTAAGACCACCTTATTTATTGCAGATACACATTTCTTTTTTTCTTTTCTTTCTTTTTTTTTTTT